AAGTACATCAGACCACCAAATGGGTCGAAAGAATCTCCACTCGAGGACGTAACTTAGGCAAATTTCGCCACAAAATAACAAGTCGAGCACAAGCATGCCCCGAGGAAATAACTTAGGCAAATTTCGCCACAAAGTAACAGCCGAGCACAGGCGAGACTCGGGGACATAACTTAGGCAAATTTCATCATAAATATAAAAACTTAGACACGAGCAAATATTAAAAGTCGAAATAAACATCCATTCAAAGGCTCGTAAGCAAAAACAAATAAAAATAAACCGACCAAGAAGGCCGGTGATATTCAAAAATTACAGGCACGGGCACGCAGGCCCCAAAAAATATGCACGGGCACGCAGGCCCCAAAAACAACTACCAATAAACAGGCGCGCAGGCCCGACCAGAATTCCACGGCTAGACTTCCCCGGGGCTACCAGCATCCATGTCAGGAGACTCAGGAGGAGGAACGACCTGGCCGTCGATGATCTGGGACATGAAACCCACCCCTCGGTATTCAGGCCCGGATTCAATAAAGTGAGTTGGCTAACCGCGATCTCAAAACCATCTGCCAAGGCGCCAACACAGTCCGTTTCGAGGAGATGGATGCGCGCGACCAGATCCGAGCGTCTCCGCAAGGGGGCTGTCTCCTCCAACTCATCTTCAGCAGGAAGCATGGAGGCCTTCAGATCATTGACTTCTTTTGCTAGACGCTCGTTGTCGGCCTCCAAGCGTTCTCGATCCATTCGAAAACAGTCCCTCTCCTCGGCAACCTTCCCCGAGTTTTCCTTCTCCACGGCCAGCAGCTCGGCTTGCTCGCGGAACATCTCCTCAGATCGCTCCAGAGCAGCCTTCAACTTACGAGAGCCGGCAGCAAGGGCAGCTTTCTCCAGCTCCAGTTCCCTGACGCGGTCAGAGGAGTCCGACCCCTCCTCAGCGAGGACAACGGCCATCTCGGCCATCTTAACCATCTCGACCATACTGGCGGCTAGGTGTTTTCTCCGACTTTCTTTGTTTAGCCGCCTGATGGTCTCAGCCTCCTTGGCACTCACTGTCAAGGGAAACCCCTCGAAGAAGCCTTCCTCTTTAAAGCAGGGGGGCAAGCCAAAGGCCCTCACCGCGACAGACTCGTCTCTGACTTCCGACTGGTTTTCTACCCAGTTTCTCTTCCTCGTTATCAGCTCAGTGGGCTGCTCGACGTTAGGGGAATCCGAGGACCCACTAGAAGCATCACCTGAACTGGTCGGCGGGCCCATCCTCATCGCCTGTGGAGCTCGCACCAACCTTCTTTTGACTTTCTTGTCCTGAGTCAGTTTTAAAAGCCTCTCCCTTCGTCCGGACATATTGCCTGCAAATAAGAAAACCCGGGTTAGTTACGAGCAAGTAGCAAACAAAGAAAATAGAACAAAACTATAAGACAAAAAGCAACCTAGTAGGTCCACGGCCTGCCCGTAGGACTGGCACTCGACAAGCGCCTTGGTATCTATATGACGGGCCTCGAAGGTCGGGTAACCTTCCTCGTCAAGAATGTCTTTCCCCTCTCTCGTGACCCACCGGGCAGGGAAGAAGTTGTCGACATACTTGCAAAGGGTACCGTAGGCTTCCTCATCCTCGACACTCATCCCTCCCGCGGGCGTATGGTAGTGCCTGGTACCATGCTCGTAATGGCGCGATCACCAATGCCACGGGAACTTGGATACACGCCCCAACACCGGGCGACCCTCGTCGTCCATAAGAGGCTCCCCGTTCTCATCGGCCACTACGGTCTCCTCTTTGTATATAGAATCAAAAGTAGTCTGGGTGACCGGCCGCACGATATACCATTTGTCTTTGAAACCCCGGACCGAATCCATGTACATCCTGAACAGCCTCTTCGACTGTTTCAGGGAAACCCAACTATGCCTGCCTCCCCGAGACTGGCGTTGCAAGTGAAAAACTCTGAAGAAGATAGGAATGGTCGCCCCGATCCTTAAGAAGCGACATGTTAGCTCGAACGCCCGAAGAAAGGCGATCGAATTGGGGTGAAGCTGCGAGGGGGCCAAGTCCAGATGGCAGAATACCCCAACCTGGAAATCACTGAAAGGGAGCTTAAGGCCGAGGTCCTTGAACGCGATTTCATACATGGGAAAACCATACTCAGAGAACTCCGAGCAGATTCGCGCGTCGAGAGACGGCCTTGTGACAACAAAGTTCTTCTGGAAGCCCGGTTGACTACCGCCGTGTTCGATGATAGTGTAGGCGCTCCGACTACGCCAACTATATGTCGAGGCAATCCCTCAGGGCTCGGCGCCCACCCAATCCAGCGAAGGATCATCAATAGTATCGACTAGAGTTATATTCTCCTCGGCACTCTGGTCCTCGACCTCATTACGCCTCGAAGACTCAGGTTCGTCATCCATTTACCTACAAAGCACAGGAAACCGATGAAATTCGAGAGCAAATCCATATGCTCGCCATAACTGACGGGAAGTAGGGCACGACAAGCCAAGACACACTCCGCGCGCGTTATAACATTGAGGACTCGAACAAGATCCTGGTTTTGCCTCCCCGACACTAAGGTGCCACGATGAGTTGTCCTACATACTTCCTAATGGGCCAACATCCCGGCCAGCCATGGGTACGCCGACCTAAACTACGAATGTGACGGGCAATATTATGAATCCTAAACCTAGAACTATGGGTTTACCGGGCAATATCATAGATTATGTGCCCAAAACCATGAAGGTCTCGGGCAGCATCGCGAGTCACATACCTAAAGCTATGAGTTTACCGGGCACAAACATGAATATACCAGGCACAAACATGAATGTGCTGGGCACAAACATGAATGTACTGGGCGCTAATCCCAGATGTGGGTTTCTAACAGCCATATAGCGGAAAAATTACCTACAACGAAGAAAAATAGGAGGGATAAACGCTTACTTGGAAGTTAAGAAGAAGGTACGGCAGCGGTGGAGAAAATCAACGGGGGAAGGTACGATAATCTTGCGAAGTTGTAGAGAAACAGCGGCAGTAAAGGCAGAGGAAGAAGGAGAAGCGCGAAGAGGAAAAACGAATTATAGGACCCAAGGATCCTATTTATAGGGATGACGTGGAATACGAAACGTCACCCCGGGGAACCACGAACTTCCCCTCCTCGACGTCTACTCCCCTAGGCAATGATGACCCTACTCTCGCTAGGGTGGCGTCACGGTTCCCAAGGGTTGCCTCGTGTATCCAACGAATACAGTCCGCGAGGAATCCCTCGAGCACGCATCGACAAGGATTACGCCACGAACGCAACTCATGAGAAACTTCTCGAGCAGTCACGGGGAAGCAAATATCCTGGGTCGGGCATCAGACCCCGTGGCAAAGGCGAGTTGAGTTCAAGTCATAACTCCTACTCCAGGAGCCACGACTTGGGGGGCTCTTGTTCTGGACTGAGCCCGCCCTGGCCCAAAAGCAGGAACGAAGGCCCAATCCAAGCAACTCCTCGAGGAGCGCACGCCCGAGGATTCCCGCCAGCGCGCCCGACCAGAAACTGCAGTCGTGCCCGCCGTTGCCCGCGAACATGATGTCCTCGACCACGGGAACTCCAGCTCGAGCCTAGCTCGAGCACCCTCCTCGTAGGGCAGACTCTGACCGTTATCAAATCACCTAAACTCCGGAAAGATCGCGTCTTCGTCCCTCCTCATTTCTCGCAGAGCATCACCAGGAAGGAGACCACGTGCGGGTCCCCACTACACACGTAGAACCTGGCAGTTCCTTTATTGGGCCAGTTCTGGTCGGCCCAATGAGGGGACCTTGGCCCCGCGCTGGGGGCTATAAATACCCTATGTTCCTAGAGGGTCAGGTATTCGTCTCTTACCCATACATACGCTTTCTGCCTGCTCATTCTGTCACTCATTTTAGCATCGGAGTGCCTTGCAGATATCCCCCCCCCCTCTCACTCAACTTCTGCTCGGAGCTAGTCGTGACGGTCCAAGTCTGATCAGGTAAGATCAATAATAATATATAAATAATGTAATAAATACAAATTACTATAAATAAGAAATAAATTGGAAATTCATAATAATATTTAATATATTGTTTGATATAAGAGAAGTGGATGAGAAATAGAGATGAGAGAATTAAAATGATCTAATGAACTAAAAAAAAATCTCTATCTAATTTTTTAAATCTTATAAAATAAAATAAAAAATATAAAATAAAAATGATATTTTAACACTCAAATTTAAATATAAAAACTATGTCAAATGTAATTTTTAAATATAATAATATATTATTAGAATTCATATGAAATAAAAAAAGTAAAAAAATAAAATAAAAACATTAATATATGATTAATTAATATATAAAATGTTAGATACAATATTAAATATTAAATGCTCTTTATAAAATGGAGGTCATAGATGGAAGTGAAAACACAATAGGACCTCTCTCTCCCATTTCTCTTCACATGTGAGAAGACCACAAAACTTTGTGAGACCCACACTGTTTTAATCTCTCTTTTCTATCTCTTTCACAATTTAGCATATCTTTGCCCGCTCTCTCTTCACAATTTCTCTCCAAACAAACACGGTAATTGTATAAAATTTATGTCGGCACTTGCAAGTTGCCAGCATAAAATACGCGCACGTATAATCAGGTACCAGAATAAATAAAAATATCCGATGATGTCATATAGATACCAAACCTAAGACTCCTCGTCCGCAATCAAAAAAAAAAGAAGAGATTGAGAACTAGCGGTACCGTACAACCCTACCAATAAATATACTACTATGATATTATTCTGTAAATAAACAAAAACTCATGTCGATGGACCTAAAATAATCTAGCATTATTTTTTGCATTGGTATTGGCGCATTTTCTGTGACCCTTTTTCTCTCTCCATATCTAGTTTCATCCCACGTCATTCATCTCATGTGACCCCTTTTTGTACACACCACACAGTCACACACACACAACAGTGCACTCTCTCTTCGCGATCCTTTCCCTCCTTCATTGAACTTCGTTCCTTCGAATCCCCATGGAGTCTCTTGAGATTCCCCGTCTCCTTCTCCATCACCATCCCCGTGCTTCTTCATCTCCAACTCGACCTCTTTCCAGTTCACGATTCTTACCGCAATTGGTTTTTCCTTCTAACCTCAAAAAAGCTACTAAAAATGCTACCCTGCGGTCAATTTCCGGTGATACAGACGGTGGTTCCGCTTCACCAGACGGACCTGTTTCCTTTGAAGATGATCAAATTCAGCAACGTGATGAAGATAGAGCTCTCTTGTTGTCTAGAGAGACTGATGATTTTGGTTCTCTTGTTGGATTTCGCTTGACTACTAGTGACTCTGGTTAGTGTTTTGCCTTTTGCATTTCTCTTCATATGCATTACCATGTAATTCAAATTCTTTTGCTTGGCTTATTCTAATTAGGTGTTAGGTGGTGTTGATTTGAATCAATGCTAATATTAATGAAATAACAGAAACTTTGTAAAAATGTTTCTATGTATTGAATATTCTGCTTAATTTACAATCATTATAGAGCTATACAAAGAGACAAATGGATTTTATTTTAGGAAGTAAATCATTCTAGACCTTCACAAATTAACTCTAATTCATTGTCACAATCTGTCACAATGAATGCTAACCAGACAACAGCTTATGCCAACCAATAATACTACAACTCATTACTCCCCCTCAAGTTGGAGATTGAGATCATGACATCCCAGCTTGCCAGATAGTTCTCGAAATTGTTTTGTTCCTAAAGACTTTGTGAAAATGTCTGCTTGTTGTGACTTGGTTGGTATGTGGACAGTAGCTATAATTCCCTTGACAAGAAATCCTCGAATGAAGTGACAATCGACTTCAATGTGTTTCGTTCTTTCGTGGAAAACCGGATTCGAAGCTAAATGAATAGCAGCACGATTGTCGCAATGTAGAACTGTAGGAGAATCACATTTTACTTGTAAGTGTGTAAGTAATCTCCGTAACCATATGACTTCACTTGTGGCGTGAGTCATTGCTCTATACTCTGCTTCACTCGAGGACCTTGATACGGTAATTTGCTTCTTGGTTTTCCATGAAATGGGAGCTGTTCCTAACTTCATGACATAACCTGATATTGATCTTCTGGTTAGTGGACATGACACATAATCTGAATCGCAATATGCAACTAGTCTGAGGTCATCATCTCTTGGTATGATAATTCCTTGCCCCGGTGAAGACTTCAAGTACCTCAAAACATGCATGGTTGCGTCAAAGTGCCCCTGGTGAGGTTCCTGCATAAATTGACTCAGAATATGGACAAAATATGTTAATTCCGGTCTAGTGATTGTGAGATAAATGAGTCGTCCCACCAACCTACGGTACTGTGAAGGATTCTCACATAAAGGACTTGAATCCAATGTTAATTTATGGTTTGGTTCAAGTGGGATAGATGAAGGCTTACAAGGTAGCATCCCACATTCATTTAGAATGTCCAAGGCATACTTTCTTTGACAAATGAATAATCCAGAAGAGTCGCGAGCTAACTCTAGACCAACAAAATATCTCAACTCTCCCAAGTCCTTCATGTGAAAACACTTGCTGAGGTATTGCTTGAATTTTTCACATGACTTTTGCATCATTCTCAGTCACAACAAGGTCATCAACATAAATTAATACAACTATGAAAATTGAACCATGTGAATATGTAAACAAACTATGATCAGCTTCACATTCCTGGAAACCATACTTTACCAATGCTTGGGACAATTTTGAGTACCAATTGCCTGAGACTTGCCTAAGACCATATAGTGACTTTCTTAGGCGACACACCATCTCTTTATCAAAAACTTTGTAACCTGGCGGGACCTCCATATATACCTCCTCATCTAATTCTCCTTGTAGGAAAGCATTACTCACATCCATTTGGTGAAGTCTCCGTCCTTTGGCCACTGCAACAGTAAGCAAACACCTCACAGTTGTCATTTTGGCAACTGGTGCAATGGTTTCGTTGAAGTCATCCCCTTCAACTTGTGTGTATCCTTTCGCCACGAGCCGCACTTTGTATTTCTCAACTTCACCTTGTATTTAACCTTGTATACCCATCTACAACCCACTGCCTTCTTTCCTTTAGGGAGCCTTGATATTTCCCATGTTTTATTTTCTTCCAAGGCTTCAAGTTCTTGTGACATGGCTTCTCTCCATTCTTGTTTGTGAATGGCTTGCTTGTATGATTGAGGCTCTTCAATGCTTTCAACCGCTGCAAGATAAGTTTGATATTTTTGTGAAAACTCATCATGATTTACATAGTTTGATATAGGATAAATTATACCTGAAGAAGTTGACGTCTTTGGCGATGTACATGTGTGGGTTTTCTCAGCCGAGTAGCAATAATAATCATCAAGTCTTTTTGGTGGTTGTCTGTTCCTTGGACCCATGTCTATGTTTGTCATGGTTTCACTCTCCCCCTTATTCTAAGGTTCTTCTACTTCAATGATCACAATCAGAATTTGTTTCAACGACTTGTTCTTCTCTTGGTTCTTTGGAAATTATGATCTGATCTTGCTGCCCATCATTGCTAGACGTAATATCTTCTTCAACATAACAAAAATCAAGAGCAAATGTTGGTGAAGGATTTTCTTCACTGCTGTCGTTTTCTTGTGGTGCATACGGAAAAATGTCTCCATAGTACACCACATCTCTTAATACATAGATCTCTAGTGTCTTTAGGTTGTACACTGTCCAACCTTTTTGGCCTTTAGGATATCCCACTAATACACATTTTTCTGCTCTTGAATTTGAATTTTTAACATAACATAAGCATCTGAAAGTCTTAATGTGCTCATATGATGAAGGTTTTCCCAATAGCTTCTCATATGGGGTCAATCCATCATTACTCATGGTAGGGGTTCTATTAAAATGAGGTATGTTGCTGTCAAGACACACTCCCCCCAAAATGATATGGGTAAGTTAGTTTGGAATCTCAAGGCTCGTGCCACATTGAGTATATGTCTATGTTTTCTCACTACCCTTGCATTTTGTTGGGGTGTTCCCACACATGAAGTTTCATGTAGGATTCCCTCTTGTTGCAGGATTCCTTGAAATGCATGGTTGGTAAATTCTGTCCCATTGTCACTCAGCAACCTCTTGATCTTTACATTAAATTGTGTGTTTACCATGTTGATAAAATTTGTTAAAATTTTCAGAACTTCTGTTTCTTCTTTTAACAAGTAAACCCATGTTCCACGCGAATAATCATCAACAATCGTAAGAAAATAGTGACAGCCACTATGAGAGCCAGTACGATATCTTCCCCACAAATCACAATGTATAAGATCAAAAGGATTCTCAGCTTTATTATAACTAATATGAAGGGAAGTCTGCATTGCTTTGATCTATGACATATGTCACAACAACGAAGTTTATTTGAACAGAAATTAAAATTCACTAGCTGAGATATGCGTTGCATAACTTGAGGAGAGGGATGTCCCATGCGTGCGTGCCAGAGAGCAGTGGTGTCTACACGATGTGCCGTGAAAGCAGACCCTTGGACTTGTTGCTTCAACACATAAACCCCACCATATACATCACCTAAGCCAATCTTCTTCTTCGTGGCAAAGTCCTGTATCATACAATAACTAGGATGATAAGTCACAAAGCAATTTAAATCACGAGTCAATTGACAGATTGAAATTAATTTGCAATCAAACTTAGGAACAAGTAAAACATTTTGTAAAGTAATGTCTTTGCTAAGATCAATGGTCCCTATCATTTCTACCAGCACTGTGTTCCCTGTAGGAATAGTGACATAGAAAGGTTTCTCAATCTTGGTTACCCCTCTCATTATGGATAAGAGAGGGGTCATGTGGTGTGACGCACCACTGTCCAAGACCCATTTTAGATCTTTACAAGATGTATTTTTACCGGATTCACAAAAACCATGCTTCATCACACGAGAACCATGGAATGCACGCCCCTGCACTGTTTCTTCAGTCGCATGTGTATGATGAGCACTAGATTGTTCTCCATCATCTCTTGAACGGTGTTGTGTCCTTCGTGTGTGCCAATTCTCTGGGTACCCTATAATCTCAAAACATCTTGCTTTAATGTGGCCAGTCTTGCCGCAGTGATCGCACTTTGAGTTTGAACCATCTCTTCTCCTTTGTCCATTTTGTTTAGATGCATAAAAAGCAGATCCTCCGGATTCTCTTTTAGTTGCAGTAATCCTTCCTTTTTCACCCATGATTCGAGCTTCTTCTCTAAGAACATGGTTGAAAACACGTCGAAGCGAAGGCAAAGGTTCGGTGTTCAGCACTGCCGCCTTAACATTTCAAATCGCTCATTGTTAAGACTTCCAAGAAATAGATGTACTTGCTGATCTCCTTCTCTCTGCAGAATTTCTTTAGATGCACCACATGTGCATTCTGGAAGTGGTTGCAGCTCTCCTAGTTCATCAAGGAGACTCTTAAATTTGGTATAATATTATGTCACAGTCATGTCCGATTCATGCTCCATCAGACATAACATGCGCCACAATTGATGGATCCTAGGAGCATTTGTTTGAGCAAAGCGCTCCTCCAGATCTTCCCAAATATCTCGCAGTTGATGCGTGCGAGATGCTTCCGTGCAAAACTGGATCTACAGCATTAATGATCCATGCCACGACCATTGAATCAGCCTTCTCCCAATTGTAAAAGTCTGGACTGGTTTTTGCAGGTTTCTTGATTGATCTATCAATGAAACCTAACTTGCTTTTCGCCCGTGATGCCGTCCTTATGGAGCGCGCCCAATTGCGGTGATTCTCGCCTTTGAGCGTTGTAGCTACGAGCGGCGTTCCAGGATTATCAGAGGGACCAAGGTAATATGGTGACGTGTTTGTGACAGCGGAAGTCGACATTGTATTGCTGGAGGTATCATTCTTCTCCACACTTTCATTATCTGAATCAGAACTCTGCTCTGATGCCATAATGAAATAACAGTAACTTTGTAAAATTGTTTCTATGTATTGAATATTCTGCATAATTTACAATCATTATATAGCTATACAAAGAGACAAATGGATTCTATTTTAGGAAGAAAATCATTCTAGACCTTCACAAATTAACTCTAATTCATTGTCACAATCTGTTACAATGAGTGCTAACCAGACAGCTTATGCCAACCAATAATACTACAGCTCATTAAATATTGTGCTACTGTTATGATTTTTGATTTGTTTCAAAGACTTGATGAGAGTAGTACATGCAGGGAAAACTACTACTGACACTCCTCGAGGAGAATTAAGGATTGATGAAGTTGCAAAACCGGAGGATAAAAATGTAGGAGAAGATAAGGCTGAGATTAGAGTGTCTCACAACATTGTTTTTGTTACATCTGAAGCTGCACCGTATTCTAAGACCGGTGGACTTGCTGATGTTTGTGGTTCTTTGCCAATAGCGCTGGCAGGTCGTGGACATCGAGTTATGGTTATCTCTCCTAGATACCAACATGGTAATGCTGCAGATAAGAAGTTTTCTAGTGCGGTTGATCTTGATAGAAATATCAATGTATTTTGCTTTGGTGCTGCTCAAGAAGTTGGTTTTTTTCATGAGTACAGGGAAGGGGTTGATTGGGTAAGAACCTCCTATTCTAGGCATTTGCTACTTTTGGATTTGATTTCTTGCATCTTAGCATCTAATTAGTGTATAAGTGGTTGATGATAATCAGTTTTGTACTGCATCACTATTTTTAGGTATTTGTTGATCACCCTTCATTCCATAGACCAGGGAATCCTTATGGGGACAAGATTGGGACTTTTGTGGATAATCAGGTATATTCTTACTTCTTCTACCCTTGGTGCTAGATTAGCATTCTTCTTCCATCTCTGATATCTGATTAATAATAAATTTCCCTCTCATTTGGTTTTACAGTTTCGGTTCACTTTACTTTCCCATGCAGCATGTGAAGCCCCATTGGTGCTTCCATTGGGAGGTTTCACTTATGGAGAAAAATGTATATTCCTCGTAAATGATTGGCATGCCAGCCTGGTTTCAGTGTATAAATAGCTACCTTTATATTTCATTTTTCCTCCTCGTGGCATGTAGATTTTCACATTTTAAATTTCATTTAAAGCTTTTTGTGATTTGTCTGAGTTGATACTGCCTTACTGAGGATGAGCACTGATACTGTATTGCAGACTTTTGGCAGCCAAGTATCGTCCATATGGGGTATATAAGGATGCACGTAGTATATTAGTGATTCACAATATTGCACACCAGGTAAATTAAGTCATTTTTTATTTATTTATTTAATTTTTTTGAAGGTTTTGCTAAGCAATAGCAATTCATAATGCTTTTGATACCTAGCATTGTTAAGTTGTTTAGTCTGGTTAAAATCAGTGAAGAAGCTGATAAGTTTATATGTTAGGGAGTGGAACCTGCAATTACATATAGCAATTTGGGGCTGCCTCATGAATGGTATGGGGCTCTAGGATGGGTGTTCCCTACATGGGCGAGAACGCATGCTCTTGATACAGGCGAAGCTGTCAATTTTCTAAAAGGCGCCATTGTTACAGCTGATCGGATAGTAACAGTAAGCAAGGTATTTATACTTCATATCACTTATTTTGCTTCCTATTGTTTTATCTAGTTAGATTTTGGGTATTTTTTAATTACTCCAAATTCTCAGTTCCTCATAGGTATTTATAACAGTAAGCAATGTATTTTTTTATATAGTTTCTTTAATTTAGCAGGGGTTGCAGACCCCAAAGTTTGGCAGGGTACCTTTCTTTTTTCAGGTTTAATAGAATTTCCCGTTTGTGTGTGTGTTATTGTATGAAATGCTTAGAGACCTGTCCCTTTTCCAGGGCTATTCATGGGAGATAACAACTAATGAAGGTGGATTCGGTCTACATGAAATATTACGCGATAGAAAAAGTATTCTCAGCGGTATGTTTTTCAACATGATTTTTCTTGTTCATACATTTTCAAGCTCTTACCATGAAATATTTATTATGATTTAAGTATTTTCAAATTGATATATGTTTATACTCATCCCCTTCATGGAGATGCACATCTTCAATAAAGTTTTAAATCATATTTGGTTGTTGTGCTTGTGGTAAATATGGATATTGGACAATTTGACTATCTCAACAATGCTTTATTTTCACCAATAATAGTAGGCTGACTTGGAAGTTAGGATTGCTCAAAAAACTCAGAACACCCGTTCCTTCTGATCCTGTTCTTATCAATTTTTCTTTCAAGAAAATTAAAATCTTATGCAACGTACAATTTTGTGCATTGTTACACCCCTGTTTTGATTAATTGTTAATTGCCATTACGGGTGGGAATAGGCCAGGCCAACTAACACTACGGCCTAGCCTACACAGACCCAGGCCAGACTCTTCTTTAAATAGAAAAGAGCTAGGCTTTTTTATAAGCTTATTTAGTTAAAAATGTCAGGCCTCAGGCCACAAAAAATTCTTTTAAGCCTATCAGGTCGGCCTATATAAATAAATATGAATAATTTCATTATTATAATTATATTGTATTTTGTATTTTGAATTAAAATACAAAAATAAAACTCGATTATCTTGAAGAACTTATTAGAATATGCTGAAAACACCTTATGAACTTTTTCATAAGTTTTCCTAAACAAATAGTCTCACATTACTTATGCTAATACGTAAGCTCAGATAAGTCAATACAAACAAACTTTAGTACCATTGATCTTTTAGTTTCTTAGTCTATAAAAACATTAATCAAATTGCTTATTTGCATATGTTCAAATGAAATAGGCTTCTAAGTAGACTAATAGGCCTCAGGCCCAAAAATAAGACTATGATAGGCCACAGGCCAGGCTTAAGCTTTGATATTTTTAGTAGGCCAGGCTCAGGTTTGGCAAAGCCTAGCTCGGTCTAGCCTATTCCCACCCTAATTGCCATGTGCGTTCATGTGGAGGGGCAATTAGCAGACTTCGGATTTTGCGCACGAAACTTTGATTAAATGTTAGTTTTCATATTGTGTTGATGTATGAATTGGTTTTGGGACTATTCAAGCATAAATATAGTGGTAAGGATTAAATATGGAAACTAGCATAAAATATGGAAACTGACATAAATATATTGTGTTAGCATAAATATAGTGGTAGAGATTAATAAATATAAACAGACAAAGTTGCCTACTCTGGTGTTTTCCAAATTTGAAGGAGGATAATTGCTAGGATATTGTTAATTCTTTACTGAACAATACACTTTGATGCTCAAACTTGTAATGGTTTTATCATTGTTTAGGAATCACAAATGGAATTGATGTTACTGAATGGGACCCATCATCTGATGAACATCTTGCTAGCAACTACTCAGCTGAAGATCTTTCTGGGAAGGTGGTTTTCGTCTTTTGTTCTATCACCTGTCTTTTATATCTTAAACTGAACTTTTCTTACCCTAATTATCTGTACTGGACAGGTGAAATGTAAAGTTGCCTTGCAGAAGGAATTGGGTCTTCCAGTAAGGCCTGACTGTCCGATGGTAAGTTCATGTTATCTGTATGGTAAAGTTCTTTCTCACTCTTTCTTTTATTGATTCAGCTGAAACTTGTAGATTGGATTTGTTGGAAGACTTGATTACCAGAAAGGTATTGAGCTGATTCGCCAGGCAACTCCAGAGCTTATGATAGATGATGTTCAGTTTGTAAGTGATTTTGTAAATTAGTTTTATAAATACATTTGCTGTGCCAAATAATTAAGTCCTTGGTTTCCTGGCACCTATCTGCATTCTGTGACCACTCTTAGTGTATAATATCATTTAGGGTCTACGAAGCACGTACACGCCAAACACGACCCCGACACTGACACGGCGACACCAATAACAATTTAAAAAAATGAATCAATTAAATATAATTACAAGTGTCGGTGCAGGTGTCTGACATCGACACGAACACACCTTTTTTCAGAGGTGTCGGTGCTAAATAGTTTAAGGTTTTATAATATCATTTGAGAATGTATTTGGTAAATACTTTAAGTATAGATATTCTGAGGAATATATTGTATTTGTAGCCTTATTTTATATTCTAGCCTCTAATAATTTTTTCGTTTTTCAGGTTATGCTTGGTTCAGGAAATCCTATTTATGAAGAATGGATGAGAGCAACAGAGTCAATTTATAAAGATAAATTTCGTGGTTGGGTTGGATTTAATGTTCCAGTATCTCATAGAATAACTGCAGGGTAAATCCACAATTTATGTATTTTCTATAGAACAATTGCATGGTCATTCAAAAAATGATTGCTGTTCTAATGTTTCTGCATCAGTTATTCTTTTTTAATTTATTCCTTCTATGATCAGCTGTGATATACTGTTAATGCCGTCAACATTCGAGCCATGTGGATTAAATCAGTTGTATGCAATGAGATATGGAACTATACCAGTGGTTCATGAAACTGGGGGACTAAGAGTAAGTCAAGAAATTACGAAGCAGTCGACTAATTCAATATTATTTCTGTGTTGACGCCTTCGATTTTGTTGTTTTACAGGATACAGTTCAAAATTTTAATCCATTTGCCGTAGGAAGCAATGCCGAAGGATGCAATGCTGAAGGCACAGGGTATGTAGCTCGTGAACTTGGATTTCTTTTTCCTTTAAGTATTCAATTATCGCTTTTTCTTGATGAACCTTAGTACCTTACAACTCTATTTTCCGAGAAAAATAACAGTTAATTTCATTTTTTTTTTGACATTGTTTTAAATTTCATTAACAGGTGGACGTTTACTCCGCTGACAAAGGAGAGCATGTTAGTGGTAAGCACATTTATATATTTCAATATATAAAATTTCTAGTCTCTTTCTATCTTTTGCATATGCCGTGTTTTCTTTCATTGTCATCTTTTACTGTGTTTGTCGAAGTTGTAGTTTTAACTTTTAACGATTTCGTCAGGCTCTAAGATACGCCATTCAAACATATAACGAACACAAGTCTTCATGGGAGGGATTAATGAAAAGAGGTATGATGAGAGATTACACGTGGGAAAACGCTGCCACTCAATACGAGCAAATCATTGAGTGGGCATTCATGGATCCACCCTATTGCTGAAAGCAGAAATGAAGTTGGCACAAAGCATCAAAGAGGCTAGTATAAAACACAATTTTTTTCCTACCATTTGTTGAGGGGTGCACATCAAACAATATATACTACCCTTGTTGGTCTGTCTGTATTCTATGATAGGTGCATAAAATCAGGGAAGTAGTCCTCTAGAATTTCTTTTATTTATTGTAGTCCCACGTTGTTTGTAACTATGTATGAAGCAATGGTAAATGTTACTGTAAATCAATGTTTTAAAACCTAGACCGGTGATCGACTCGGTAAAGTTACTGGGTCACTGGATTACTGGTCGGACCAGTGGGTCACTGGTCAGACTGCATTGCTTTTGACCCGGTTTCTATAAAAAATATATTCATTACCTGAAATATGTAACTATAATAATATAGAAAATTATAAATTCAAATAATTTAGAATAAACAAAAGTATTAGTAACAATCAAAATAAGTGATAGAAACTTAATGTAGCAAATTATAAATTCAAAAAAGTGATAGAAACTTAATAATTCATAAGTTATAGTATTATAATAAGTCACAAAAATCCATACTCAACGATCCATAATTTTTTATGTCTATGAAGTCAAATTGTCATAATTTTGATATTCATATCTATCTTCAATTTCATTGTCTTCTCCACCAACTTCATCTTCTCTGGTGTTGTTTTTTTCTTGATTCACAGTATCAACAATAGTATCTTGTGCATTATCCATATCTCCATCTTCATCCTCATCTAAATCTATTTGATCTATAACAATATTTTTAAAAATAATTAAAAAAAAAATTTAGAGATGGTAAATATGAGACATTAAATTGGTTCACAACCACAAACTATATTATGCTCATATTAGAACATACCAATATCACTTGAAATTGGTTGGATGGTCATATTTGCAAGGTCATTCCGCAATGCTTCCAACTCTTCATTGGTTAAGAGAGGTGTTGAATCCTCTAATACGCAACTAGAATGGTCGGCAATTGTTTCAATATTGATAGGATCATAACTTCCATTTCTTATTTTCCTAAGCACACATGAATTAAATCTAAGTATATGTATTTAAATATAAAAATATAATGATCAGAGAAAAATAACCATAATAATACTTATTTTGAAGTCTCAAGTTGTAACGAACAAACACTAAATCATTAAGCTTTTGGTGCTCCAATCTATTTCTTTTTTTGGAATGAATATGCTCAAATATACTCCAATTGCGTTCACAACCCAAAACACTACAAGTTTGGCTTAAAATACGAATAGCTAACCTTTGCAAAGTTGGTGTACAAGTGCCATAAGTTTTCCACCATTGATCTCTTTATACCATGTGATTAAATAAATTTTATAAACATATTGAAATATAAAATAAAATATATATCAAGAGTTAGAAGTTATGAAATTACCTGCCCTCACAATACATCATTCATCCACGGCTGATTTCCTTCCAAAATCTAATTCACCGTCTTTGAATATTCTCATCTCATTTGTTAACTTCAATCGAAGTTCAGAATTTCCATTAGCATGCTTTTCAATGACATCTAAAAGTTCTGATGTTGTGGATGCATGTTTTTCAAATTCTACATCATTATATCTACAAGCTGGATTCAACCAATAACCGGCAGCATGAAGATTTTTGTGGAGCTGTGAATCCCAACGTTTATCTAAGATTTTCAAGTAAGGATCACTTTCTTCTTATTTCTTTGAAACCTCCTCACCATCTCCTCTCTAGCTTTGACTATAGATTTGTATAGAATGCCCATAACAGGTTTATCTTCACTATCAATAATATGCAACACACGCACAAGTGGTTCAGTGAGTTTAACTACATCAGCACATTTACTCCAAAATCCAGAATCTAAAACTTGATCCACAAACTGTTTTGCCTTTGCTTCTTTGGCATATGCTGAGCTTGTCCATTCTTTAGATGTTACCATGGCTCTTAGTGTATTTTTGTGAGACAAAATACTTTGCAAAGCAGTGAAATTAGTGGCAAACCGAGTTGGAGTAGGACGAAGGATTTCTCTTCCACCTGTTTGCTTTCTCATTAAATACAATACATAACAATGGTTATAAATATATTTGGTAACATTAGAAGCATGTGACATTGTCTCACTTACTTCCTCTAATTTTCCCATGTCTTGCAACATCTAGTTAATGCAATGTGCCGCACAAGGAGACCAAAATAAAGTAGAAAACTCATTTTCTAATAACCTTCCAGCAGCAACATAATTTGCAGCATTATCTGTCACTATGTGAACTACATTTTCAGGCCCAACAAATAAAACCACCTCTCTAAAAAGCTTATACAACATATCTATAGTTTTTGAAGCATGAGAAGCATCAACGAATTTTAGAAAAATAGTACCTTTAAGACAATAAACTAGAAAGTTTATAAGAGTTTTTCTTTTTCGATCAGTCCATCCATCGGTCATTAGAGTACAACCAATTTTCTTCCAAATCTCACGATACTCCTCTATCAATTTGTTCACATCTTCAACCCATTTAACAAATAGCCACGAAGACTATGCATAGTTGGAACTTTATACCCCGGACTCATGCTGCAAAGTGCATCAGCCATAGATTGAAAATACGCAGAATTAACTGCATTGAATGGCATAGAAGAATCAATGAACCATCTTGCAATAGCTAGATCACACTTCTCCATCAATTCCTTACTTTGTAGCACACTTTTTAAAGAAGGTTGAGCTCCAGGAGTTGTTCTAGACATAAAATAATTACCAATACGACTAGTATTCTTTCTCTTTTGAGACACAATCACCGAATTTGATCTTGATTGTTCTACATCCATTTCTACTACACCACCCTCTTGAGTAGTAAGATCAACATCAAAATTTTGTGCTTGAGTATTTCTTCTCTTATTTGCACCTTCATCAAAATTTTATTTCATTTGATATTGAACATCTGAATGCACCTTTTTACATGTTTCAACTTGACCTTTTATTCCAGCCAAATGAAATTTGAACCTATTAATCCCCTCCTCTAATAATTTTATCACAGTAAATACACAAATTAACAAGTTTTCCTTTCTCTTCAATTTGTTTACAATGACCCCAAAATATATCAGTTTTTCCCCTACTGCTCTAGAGTTGGGTTGAATTTTGAGATGTAACTTCTTCCAAAGTTATTACTTCAACGGGTGATGCCATATCTAATATCAATCAAAATTTAAAAATACAAAACTATATTACAAAAATATTAACAAAACACAATTCTAAACAAAAATTATTGAATTTATAAAAACATTATAAGAAACATTAAATATGTAGCATATCTAAATCCAAAATATATGAATATGTTGTTGTATATTACATATAGGCTATCAAACATCGTTACTGTGCATCACCATATATAATAAAAAAATAGAAACTTTGCTTTCCAGCCTTTGCTATATATTTTAGATTAATAAAATCCTGAAACTTTTCTTTGTTATATAATTTAAATTAATAAAAAACAGAAAATTTTGTCTTTCTGTATAATTTAGAATACATAGTTTTAAACTCAATTTCTATCTCCATAATATATACAACGACTATTACAGTAATATATATCTATCCCAATTTTTATCTCCAATATACAACAACTTCATTACCGGTCTATAATAAGTTAATTCATAAAAGTATAAAACTGCTTCATTCATACAAATTCTATCTCAATTTGTTAAACTAAAAAACCCAATTTTATAGAAAATGATCAAATTTAATCATTTATTTTCTATATCAATTAATCAACAAAATGAAACAATAATATTCATATTGAAAAACATCAATGCAAATTAGACCAAGTAAAAAAGAAATAACCTGTTTTTGATGTTTTGATGAAATTTTTGACGGCAAACAAGAAATATCAAATAACAGCAGCAAGTGGGAGTTTTTGTTGGTAGAGAAAATTGAGAATATGACTTCAATTAAAAAAAGAAAAGACAGAATAAAAAAGAAAATCTTTCAAATGCTTAGGTTTGGGAAACGAGAAGGCAAAGCGTTTATGTTAATTTTTTTTCAAAAGTCCTAAAAAATAAAATAAATAGTCAAATCTACCGGTTCAGTAAAAATCGTCGGTTCACTAGTTTAACCGGTAATCCGACCGGTTCACACCGATTTCATCTGATCTAAATGTAATTCCGGTCTTATCCCTTAATCGAACCACCTGATCCACCGGTTCTCGATCCGACCGGTCCGACCGACCGGATCGAACTGAGTTTTAAAACACTGCTGTAAACAATCTTGAGTTTTGATTCATCTATAAAAATATTGCAATAAGTCCATTTTTTTAGTTCACAAGGGTTATTCTGATGTGAAAAGATGCGCGACATGAATGTTAGATCCAAATGTTGGTTTTGCATAGATGGAGAAAATGAAAATATCATGGATGTTGGCGAGGAGGGACTTGCTGGTGTAAGATCTGGTTTGTGTTTGTACTTTGATGTGATCGGTCTTCCCCTTTAATTCACAAAATTGTTGCAATTGTTTTAATAAAATCAAGTATCTAAACACATGTTATGTTTCAATTAGAGATTTGGTTCGGTGTGTCATAGAAAATAGTAATTGATGTCATACTTTCATTATTAGTTTGTTTATGGGTGGTTTATTCTATTTCAACTATATTGTCTTCGCTAATGGTTTATTTTATTTATAGTATCGTAAGTGATGAATTTTTATATTTTATTTACACACCAATTGTTTGGTAATAATGTACACACGATTATAATTACATGTTTTCGCGGTTCAGTTTAGAGATAAAAATACATCTGATTTAAAAATAAATGTACTTACGATCAGTTTTGGATGATTGATTAAAAATATTCGATCTGATCCGATTCAATTTTATATAGTTTATTTTGAATTAGTTTTTGAATATCTAAATTATAAATAATAATTTTATTAAGATTATAAAAATATTAATATATAATAGATTTGATATATATTATGTTTGATAAAAATAGCGATTGACTGATAAGTTAGTTGATAGTTTATAGTTTATAGTTT